TGCAAAGTATGGCCGTAGTCAAGTCCAGGCTGGAGCCACCATAGCAAACGTGTATCTGATAAATCTAGATTTAGCAAGTCCGACTGCCAGGTGAGAGTGGGATGTTCTGTGGGTTGCCTACACCCGGAAAAATAGTTCCTTCAAGTGCAAATTGACACAAGACGAAATTCACCATTGAAACAAGACAATTTCGTCTCTGAAATAAGATTTTAGTCTTATTCGAAAGAAAATATCAGCTTGTTTCAAGAATAAATTTGATCTTGTGTCAGCGTGCTCTTGAAACAAGGAAAAATTTACTTGAAACGAGAAACGATTTTTCTGGGTGTACATACAGGGATTTTTAAACAGCGAATTCCCACCTTTTAAGCGACATCTCACAAGGAGACTTCTGCAAGTGTAAATTCCCGATCTTGCCAAAACTCGGTATATTTATTTGCTTCTTATCTATGTTGATGACGATTGACGGTAGATTCTTTTCCTGATCGCCCGCCCCTCCCAAACCCCCATTTCGAATCAGAATATTACTTAATAGTTGTAAAAAATAATTAATTTGTATTTTTCGAAATTATACGCCTTTAGAGGGAGTACCGGTACATGAAGGGCCAGGAAATTGATCATGATAAAAAGCAAATATATCGAGTTTGGACAAGATCTTGCGTAAGTCCCCTTGTAAGAGCTGACAGAGGAAGATCAAGGTGAGGCGCGGGCTGTCCTGTCAACCCTCACCCCCCTCTTATAGCACGTCGTCGAGTCTCAGAGAGATTACGCGGGGTGGAAGGTACGACCACAATGTGCCCACGTCGAGGGGTTTTCACTCGAAATTTTGGCGTACAGTGTATCACATATATTACCTGCATCACGCGATCTTACGTCGATGTTACACACTCTTTGCAACTAAGTTCTACAATTTTAGAGCATATTTTTCTATTTTTCGGTAGAAGAGAACGCGTTGAACAGTGTATTACGCAAGTATAACCAACCGAGCCCCTGGAGTATCATAATCCTCTCGTATCCAGATTTCCAGCAGCAGCTCGCCAACTGCTGCTCTAGAAGAGACGCGCCATTGCACAAGGCAGAGAGAATCAGGCAGCCCTGTCGCACCTAATCGCAGATCAGTTGATAACCTGCTGTGCGGTATAGACTGGCGGGGGTTTACTTCTGCACTCACACACGCATACGCGCGCGCGCACACACACACACACGCACGGGCGCACGCACCGTGCCACTGAGCGTGCGTTCGCTGCGCCGCCTCTCATCTATGGGGTGCTTAGGTTTAAAATTAGAAGGCGCTGAGAGCGGGCGAAGCGGGGCACAGAGCGACGCGCTCAGCGCCACGCAGAGCCACGCAGAACCACGGCGAGCCACGCAGAGCCACGCAGAGCCACGCAAAGCCACGGAGAGCCACGCAAAGCCACGCAAAGCCACGCAAAGCCACGGAGAGCCACACAGAGCCACACAAAAGCTACGGAGAGCCCCACGGAGCCACACACAGCCACACAAAGCCACCAGGAGCCAAGAGTCACTCAGAGTGATCCAGCAACGCAGAGCCACGGAGAGCAGAAACACGCAGTGTCACGCAGTGTCACGCAGTGTCACGCAGAGTCACGCAAAGCCACGCAAAGCCACGCAAAGCCACGCAGAGCCACGCAGAGCTACGCAGAGCTACGCAGAGCTACGCAGAACCACGAAGAGCCACGCAGAGCCCGCAGAGCCACGAAGAGCCACGCAATACAAGCCGAGGTTCGCTTGCAGCCCAACGTCGGCGCCTCGATGCAGCCGCTGAGGTCGGAAGCAGTCGGAAGCAAGGCGTCGTCGACAGGCGAGGCCGGCGGCGGCCGGCGGCGGTACGCAGGAGTAAACCTCGGAGTAAACACCAGAAACACCATCCCGCGAGACAAGGAGCTGTCTGGAGACGGAAGAGAATGATTCCAAACGTTAGGAAGGACCAGGACTCCCCTGCCTGCCTTCCCTTCTCCCTCCCTCCCTTCTTTCTCCTTCCTTCTCTCGCACTCGCACGTCTCCGACTACGCTGCTGCGGCCAGTGACCACGGAGCAATGGGCCTCTACGGCGACTTATTCGTCACGCGCCAAACAAGATTGCAAATATTGCCGAATCGCAAAGGTATGCAAAATTGAAACGGCTACTATACTCACTGCGGCAGCAGCGACGCCGGCAGCTCGCCCTAGCGCAGAGCGTGGCGCGGGGCTCCCGAGCCCGGCGCCGAGCCGATTGCACACTCGGCGCGACGCGGGCGGGCGGCTGAGCGTCTTTCGCCGCAGTGTCCTACCTGCAGTTGTTGACGTCCTTGGGGATCTCAGGTGGACAGGACGCACACCATCCCGAACGGTGCCAAGCTGCAGCTCCGCGCCAATCCCACCCCTCGTTGCCACCGCCCTACCCAACCACCCAAACCACCCAAAAGCTACGCTGACCGATCCGACGTTGCATGCAAACTACCTGACGTGATTCACCATGGGCCCTAAAAAAAGAGCTCCACCTTTGTTTTACGGTCCGTCGCTATTTTGAAGCCGCTCGGTTTACAAAAGTGATGGGCGATGACGTTCCCGGACCCAAAGATAACTTTGACGACCGCGTCGATCAGCTAAAATTGGCAGATTTTTCTCCTTCTCTCTTTACGAGTTTACCAAAATGATCTCACCAGTGCAACTTACAGAGCTCTGAGTCACGAGAGTAAAAGCGAGAGGGAGCGAGAGAGAGAGAGAGAGAGAGAGAGAGAGAGAGAGGGGGGGAGTCCCTTGGCATTGCGTTTTGCGTTTACCTTGCCTTTTTCGCATTTCGGCATTACAGTGTAGATGAGCATCGCTCGCTCTCTGCTCCGAGAGAGGCTCGCCGCTCCACGAATTAATTAATATTGATCAGGACGGGTGGGCCCCCCTGGGCCCCCTGAGCCTCCTCCTGGGGCCGGGCCTGTGGGCCCCTTGCCGTGCAGCGCTGCTCGCCCATGGCCGCGGCGGCCAGGGCGCTCTGTAGACAGAGACGACAAGCGTTGCCTCGCGCAGCGCTCCGTGCGGGGCGAGGTGCGGGGCGAGGTGCGGGGCGGGGCGAGGTGCGGTGCGGGGTGTCCAGTGACCGCTGCAAGTCAATGAGGCATGAAGGCCTCATTACCGCGATAACAATAACAATCAGACGCTGCAACGCGTCGGTCGTGTCGGTCCGACGCAGAGCAGAGCGACGAGTGCTCCTGCACGCCCAGCCGACTGGGAAAGGGTCCACGAGGGGGAGTTTACCCCCCATTACAATAGCCTCGGACTTGCTCTCATCCCGTCACTGATTTTTGACCCCACTGTCGATATTACAGCAGTTTCAAAAAGACCGTATAAGTTACTGGCATTTGATTAGCAGTTTGACAGACATAAACTTATTAATTCAAATAAATAGCGTTCAGGTGTCAGCCAGCTAGGCGTATGCGTGTTGAACCGGTAATGTGCCAAACTTGAAAGTGTTCGAATGTAAATTTGAACACTTTAGAGTGTCCAAAGCTGCATGCAAACCCCGCGAAAAGTGTTCAACTTTACTACGTATTAAACACTTTTCAGCATTCAAATATTTACTCACACACATAAGTGTTCAAGGTACACGGAAAAAAAATATGTAAGTTCGCATAGCTGATATGTTTGCTGATATCGTGACAAGCAACTTTTAAGCTACATTAGCTAATAATTGACTCCTGTGTGCAAGAATTAGCTAGGGCAGCTAATGCTTATCTGGATAAGGTTTAGTGCTCGTTCTGGTAGATTATGCCCAATCAACTGAAGCAGACATTGCATTTGCTCAAGCAGGTGAAGCATTAGCTCTCACAGCTGATACGTCGCTGTAACAGCAAACGTTTCGCTGTGGTAGCTAAAAAACTTGCTTGTCACGATATTAGCAAACATAAAAGCTAAGGCAGCTAACATTTAGTTGGCTTAACTTAATTATTTTTTTCCCTGTAGTGTCGAGAACTTGCACGTGCACGCGCCAGTTGCCAACTTCTTTTTATCAGTTTACTGTATCAGTGTATAGTTAGTAAACTCTGGAAATTAGCGCAGAATTATCTTCGGGGATATATGCAGTTATAACAAAACAATTTCACAGGACAATCTGTGCAATGTTTTGTTTTGAAAAACTACCTTAAGTGATCACATCCACAACCAGCTCCAGAATCCCTGAACATTTCTGGTAAACTATTTACATCCATTTTATATTTTTAAGACTAGACTATCCGTTAAAATTGTATACTGACAATGTCTTCTTTTATCTAAACTTTCCCCAATATGTTTGACCACACTGCTTAACTCTTCATCACACTAATGTGTCTAGCTTCGAATTAAGCACTTGTTAGTGTTTGAGCGTTCCTCAAGTTAAACCCGTCTCTTAACTGGGCGCACTCTGAGAGGAAAGTGTTCATGTGATCGAATTGAACACATGGGTGTGCACATCGCTCGCGACGTTTCCTTTCATCAGCCACAGCCAGCCAATGCTCGCAAACTGCTCAATGTTTGCAATGAGCGACACTCCACCCTCACAACCCCCACGGGTGAACGGGGCGGACCTAACGCCCTAGGGGTGGTGAGCGGAGCGCCGCCTGCTCGCCGACCGGCCAGCCAGACTTTTTATTGACCGTTAAGAAGGGGGATGTGACAGGGGTGAACGGCCAGCTAAGGCTGGGGGGGAGAGGAGGGGGGCGTCTGACGCCAAACTAAGGAGACCGGCTGGTAGGGTGGCGTGGCTGGCGGGGCTGGCGACGCCAGGCGACGGGACGGGACGGGATGGGACGCCCGGCGGCCCGGCGGGGTCTTGCTCTTATGTGGTGTGGAGCCGAGCCAAATTTGAAGGTGTTGCGTCCCGCACGCGTCAATTCCACAAGTGATTTTTTGTTCGCAATCTGGGGGAACGAGACATATACATAATGGGAAAATATAAGCGTGTTACTGTGGTGTTGATGGTCAACACCTAGCAGTCAATAGTCCTTAATGGTGTGATTACAGTTAATACTCACCACAGTCTGGGCACAGCACGGTGCGGATGGCGTGAACCGTCGCCCTGCTCCTCAGAACAGGCGCCCCTCTGGCGGTGAAGTTGTGGGGGCCCACACGGTCCGCGAAGACAATGAACTTGCCGCCGGGCTTGATGCTGGCGCGGACGGGCGCGGCCGAGGGCGCGAGCCTCGACATGTCCTCGCACTGGGCCGCGTGGCGGGCGGCGGCGCGCGGCCGCTCGGGCCCGGGGGCGGGCGTGGTCGCGAGGGGCGGCTCCACGAACTGCAGCCGGACCTGCGACCGCATCCGCAGCGGGGGCGCGGCCACGGCGCCGCCCCCTACCGCCCCCGAGGGAGCGTCCTTGCGCACATGCTGCACCACGAAGGTGACAAAGTACGACCCGCCTGGCCCGGCCGCCGAGCGCGACCGAGCCTTGCCTTCAAACACAGTGGTGGCCGCATAGGCGCGCGCGCCCGCATCCTCGCTCGCGCACCATGCTCCGCCCCCGCCGCCCCCGCCACCCCTTGCGCGACCACCCCCGCCGGCGCCGGCTAGAGAGCTCTGCGAGAAGCCCCTGCTCCGTGGGCCGTTGGCTCCTGGGGCAGCCGCCGGGAGTGTCGAGGACACCGTGGGGCCGGGGCCGGCGGGGGACCCGGGTGCGGGCCTCCTAGTCCTGCTGTCCATGGAGGGCGTTGGCCTCCTCTGCTGGCCGCGCGGCGGCCCGGCTGGTGACACCGGCACTGGCTGCTGCTGGTTGTCGAATGTCCAAGGGTATCGTCGCGGTGACGAGGCGTCCGTCGCGGAGGCCGACGGCGGCCTCGCCGGGAGTGCGGCGGCAAGGGCGAGCTGCGTCCACGACCCGGCCAGCAGCCCCACGTACAGGAGGGCGAGTAGGCTCGGTCGGCTCCAGATGCCACCGCCCCCGGGGTCGCGGCGCCGGCGCCGCGGCGCTCTCTGTTCCCCGCGGCTTTCCGGCCAGCTGCAGGCGCAGCTGCAGGCGCAGCAGCCGCAGGGGGTGAGGGGGTGGGGCGCGGGCACGCGGCACGAGGGACAACAAGGCAGTACGTCGTGGTCCTTGCCGGTCGGCTTCATATCCTAGCGCTGGCTGGACGGCGCCGTCCTGGGCCAGCCGGTGGCGCTGGTTGCGAGGTCGGGGCGGCTTACTCCACGCCGTCGGGGTGGGAGACCCCAGGCATGTCGCGGCGCTCCGGTAGAAACAGGTGGCGGTGTCTGAGACCCAGGGTCGTCGTCGTGCTGGTGCTCGTCGAGGCCACCGGGCCGGTCTCGGTGCTGCTGCTGCTTCTCCACAGGGTACACGTCGTCCAGGGACATGACATGGCCACGGCCAGGACGAGGATGGCTTCGTCGAGGAGATGGTGCACGTAGAGGTCCTGGATGTGCACTACGGCCGAGTCATCACCACACTGCACCAATACATCACTGCGCTTCACAACACACGCACGCACTCACACACACCTCTCACTCGCGGCACGTCCAGGCGCGTGGGCGTGCGTCGTGCACGTGCCCAGGCCGGCACACCCCTGCCTCGTCGGATCGGTTTCGGCTCGGCTTCGGCCCGGTTCGGTTACTCGGTTCGGCTGCTGCTCGCCGTGCAGATCGGATCGACTGTTCGGCCGGGAGGCGCACCACGCGGAGGCGGCTGGGACTACTCACTCGCACGAGCTCTGTTCGCAGACTAGAGGGGCGCGTCTGGCCGGGGCCTGGGCCGGGCCGGGCGTAGCCGGGGCGTAGCCGG